AACAAATATCTTGTGAACTATTGACAATTTTTAAGTTATAAGCTCATCCTGTCATTATACTTATCGAGATCTTTCATTTGAGTACCCACATTAATTTTTCATATATTTTATATATTTATATATATTATATATATATATATATATATATGTATATATGAAAAAATATATCAAAAAATGCATGTGGGTATTCAAATGAAAGCTCTTGATGAGTGTAACATCAGGATGAGCTTATATCTTTAAAAATGTCAATAGTTAAAAAAGTACAGTGCAATTTAACAAAAATCATTATTCAATAAAGCAAAATTTTATTTATTTATAGTTCATAAGTCATGGCAGTCACATAGTGACTGCAAGGTTACTAATTATATATTAATATGATGTAATTATGTATTCCTTCTGGTTCTATGTACAAATGTGTACCACCTCTATAGAATCACTACCAAAAGTAAAATAATAAATAATAAAATTTCAGGTGTTGTTGAAAGCACAGAAAATATTTACAAGTACCACATGCAATTACAACCAAATACAACGACCAGCAATGGATCTGGGGCTCGAACACCCCCACAACCACTGGTGCAAACTCCGGTCGGTGCCAGCAGTCAAAGTCACAGCAGATCTTCAAGTCACTCGAGCTTACAGAGCAATAAGTGTATCTCAGCGGTTGCTAATTCCAATGTCTTGCAATCTCAAGTGAAAGAGGAACTTAACGATCCGCGATCGTAGTTAGATAATATAATATTTTCTATTGTTTTAAACATTTAATAATGCGAAGTAGCTATTTATAATTAATACCTTGACACTGCTCATTGTAAAAAATATAAAAATAAAAATAACGAAAATATTCCCGGTATTTGTGATAGTTACGCATTGCATTGACGTACTAATTACTTAATTTAGTAATATTATAATGTTATAATGAGCTATTAAATTAAAATAATAATAATAATAATAATTAATATATTTCACACATAATTATTTTTGTTTTTAATTAAGTATATTTTAACTGCAATATTATTTTTATTTTTATTTATGTATTTAGTAATAATGTAATTTGCTTTAACGCGTTACTTTTATGCACAACAGCTTACAATCATGTGATATGATCAGTAATATAATTAGTGACTGCAATTACATTACCAAAAATGAAATGATTATTCTTATTGATGAGCTTTTATTGTTTTTAACGAGTAGACGCATTTTCAAGATCTTTGTTGTATATTCATTTTAAATTTCATACTGATTACATAACACACGACACAACATTGTTATTGAAATATGTAATTATTTATAATGATAGGTGCAAAAAGATAAATCAAGTCCTTAATATATATATTTATGTACCGAAATATTGTGATAAAAGTATAAATATTTCATCACGAGCTGAATAAATAATTAAAATAATTTATGATTGTAAATTTAATTTTTATTTTAAGGGGGATAGCCACTGTGAGGATCGAAAAAATAGATGATTTTCGGGAATTTTTTTGACTGGGATAATCAACGGATCTTTATCAAAGTCAACATACTTCTTCTGAAGATAAATGTCGAAGTCAAGTTCAAAGATGAGCTTAATTGGTTGAGTTTAGAAATGTCAGGATTTTTTAATTTTCAAAATCATGAAAATTCATATTTCTTCACTTTCTTACTCGAATAACTTTTAAATGGGATAATATATTGAATCTCAGTAAATTGCATCTTTAAATAAGCTTCAATTAACATATTAAATAAGTTCTTTAAATAAGCTTTAATTTGAGTACCATACACTGAGAAAAAAAAAATACTTTTGCTCAATTAACAATTTCTTGGCTCAAGAAACTCGCTGACGATCAAATATTCTATTATTATTAATTATTAATTTCTGAAGAGAAGAACATCAATATTTGTCTTTGGATAATAGATAAACAATAGAATAGCTTTATTTAAGTTAAGTAAAAATTTTTTTTTTTTTTTTTTTTTTTTTATATACAATCCTAGTAGATTTTTTTATGAAATCTACTTCTATTTCGGAAGTAGATTTTTTTTTGGGTACAATCTTAGAAGTTTTTTTTTTTCTATTCATTATGAAATTTTAGATTCAAACAGCCATAAAAAATCTTAAAAATTAAAATTTTCAAAATCCTCTACCTGAAACTTAGCTACTGAAAAATATTCGAAATTTTCATATAAAACTCTAAATAAATATTTTTGAACATATAAACTTTGATTTAATAAAAAAAAAAAAATATTTTTTTTTTTCAATTTCATAATTGCTATCCTCCTAAAAATTTTTGTTGGAAAGGGTAATTCAAAATTATAAATTAACATTTAAATGTACTTTATTTCTCTTTTAGTTTATTAGCGATACAATAGGAGGAATAATAAAGTTGAGTTGCGTGGCAGACACAATATTTTAAATTCACTGAAAATTATGCGTAATTGCTTTTATTTATCAGCATCCATTCATTTTATTTTCTTTAATTTAAAAACCCTTTTTTTTATCGTTTATAATTTCTTCTATTAAAGCTTATGTACGCTATTTGTACTGATACAAACCTTAATACAATCAAACAAACAATTTATTATTCGTAGCCTTTTTTTTTTTTATATAATTATATATAAAAAAAAATTCTAAAAATCAAGAAAATTTGAGCGCCATTTAAATTTCCGCTTCATAAGTCGACTTTTGATTTAATCTTTCTTCTTCTTGTTCACTCAATAAATCAATTAATATATGTCTAATAATTATAAATATTGCATAAAAATTCGTGCTAGGCCACTAATTAATGGTGTATTTTAATTTCTAATCTGTGCCTTTGACCAATTATTAATTAACCCAAAACATTGTTCAATTACACAGTTAAAAATTTTAAACTAAGTACAAATACATTAATCATTAATTATTAATTAATTTTTTTATCAATTACGACGTATAAAAATGATTAAAAAATTGAACGAGGTGAAAATTCGTAGAGTCAACGGGATAATAAATTCACGTGTATTTATTACCGCTGTACAAAATTCGTAATTAATAATATTATGTACAATTGACAATAAATTAGTATGAACGTTTCATTGACAATTGTCTTCCTTATTAAGAATTTTTTTTTTTTAATTATTTATTATGTATAGGCATTTCTTCTTTAGAATAAAGTAATTGTCGTGTTACTTTTTGCCTTTTTGGTAAATAGTAAATAATTTAAATAGTAAAAAAGGCTTCAATTTTGACACATACAAAGATTAAAAAAAAGTTTTACATAGAATACTGTATTGGTCCGTTTTATTTACGGCAGTCTTCAACAATAGACGATATTTTTATTTTAATTTTAATAAAATGGTTCCATTAATTAATTTATTTATTTATATTTTATAGATCTAATTTAATTTATTTTATTAATTCGAGGTGTAGAGCTATTCGTTAATAAAACTACAAAAGATTTATAATTTAATGCACTGTAATTTACTACTTTTTTTAGGTAAAAACCCTTTTAGTTTTTAATATTTACGAGCATGACAGACATCAGTTTAAATTTCGTGATTTTAAGGGGGGTCTAGAAGCATTAAATTTCAGGTAATTTTTAAAGTGCCGTAAAAAAAAAGGCAATCAATATTTTTACTATACATTTTTTTATAAGTTATTTATTAACATTTTAAGAATACAGAACAAAATAAAATAATAAAAAAATTTTCTTGTCACAAGAATATACATTTTTGATAATTTTCAAAAATATATTTTCTTGTCTCAAGAATTGATCGAATTATTTTTTATTTAATTCAGGTGAACCTATTCGTTCATTAGTCTATTAAAATTAATGCCAGTATTTTATTATCATGATAGATGATAATATAGATATTGATATTCTTTTGTCGAAAAACCAAAATTTATTTTAAACGATTCTTGAGCCAAGAAATTTTTTTCTGGACAATAATTTTTTTTTCTCAGTGTTAGAGCTGAAAAAAAAAAAAAATTATCTTAACCATTTTTTACTTTTTTAAAAATAGTAAAAATTGAAATTTGGGGATGACCGTAGTTCCAACCATAGTGACATTTAATGCCAATATTTTATTATCATCGTAGATATTGATATTCTTTTTGTCAAAAAACCAAAATTTATTTCAAACGATTCTTCAGCTAAGAAATTTTTTTCTGGACAAAAATTTTTTTTTCTGTGTAGAGCTGAAAAAAAAAAAATTTTTTGGCTATTTTTGACTTTCTCGAATTTTTTAAAAATAGTAAAAATTGAAATTTGGGGATAAACGTAATTCCAACCATAGCGACATTACTCTAGATTAATAATCTTTTTTATTTTTTTGAGACTCCTTCACTTCATCAGCTGCTAATTTTTTGATTTTTCAATTTTTTTTGTACTCTTATAATGTAAATAAATAACTTGTAAAAATATTGATTTCTTTCTTTTTTACGGGACTTGAAAAATTACCTAAAATTTCACGCTTCTAGACCAAAATACCCCCTTAAAAATTAATCATAAGAAATTTTTAATAAAGTAATTTCAATAAAAATTCTTACTAAAAATTTCTTCTCATGAAAATTTAAACTAATTTATATTTTTGATAAAAATTTGAGCCATTTATTTTATTTGGCAAGAAATTATTAGCTGATGAACACTGTTTACTTAGTGACTAGGATATACGATCAAATTCAAGTTACCATTTGTTTATTATTATAACTTCTAACATTACATTACTCATTACACCTTACAGTATTAATTAATAATAAATTCTCCTTGATTTCTTCCTTGTTTATTCATATATAATTTTTTACTTGTGTCTGAAAGCCAGCGACGCTCAATTATTTCCTCAATATTTGAAACTTATCCAAACTATAAATTAAAACTCACATCTATAAATTCTACTTATTATTCTCCATAATTATAATTTTAATAAATATTACAATTATTTACATCGGGTAGTCCCACACTAAGCAGCCCATATAAATACGCGTTGTAATAAGTCACATAACCTAACTTCTTTATTAAATCTTTACATCTACTTTTTCATAATATATAATAATCATAATTATATAATTAATAATAATGATTATAGTAAATTTATATATATATATAAAAAAAAAAAACAATTTCAAACAAATACATCTTGTATAAATATTACAAAATTTAATTATAAATAAATGCTGGTGGAATGGCACTGACTCTTCCATATATTTTTTTGAGGTTAAAAATTTATCAAACGGAAGAAATGAAAAAACAATGATGTTAAAGTTAGCCGTCACTTGACAAGTCTTTAATTTTATTTAACAAAAAAATTAATTCCGAAAATTTATTTTTAAAAAATTGCATTTTTTATTTTTTTTAATAAAATGTCAATTTTTTTAATCATTTTTTTCGGGTCATAATTTAATTATTTATTTTATTTTAAATAAAATATAATAAATAATTTATTTGTTAAAAAAATTTTTTAAACAAATAAATTATGAAAAAAAAGAAGTAGAAAAAAAAATTGACATTTAAAAATTTTAAAAAATAAAAAATGTCAATTTTTTTAAAATGATTTTTTGGAAAAAATCTATTTGATAAAAAAAATTTTTAAAATGGTTAAATATGACTGCTAACTGTAATATCATATTAATTTCCATGAAAAAACAAACACAGTAATTTTAAATAAAGTTAAATACCATGGCATACAATTAAATATTATGATTATACCTCTTTAAATTGCCACACTTTACACTTTACCTGTAATTTATTATTTATTATTTAATTCTCATATTTTATCTACGTATTTACAAAGTTAACATCGAACTTAATTGCGGAATTCGCCGTAGGTTTCGTTGTAGCGAGTTTGTATTATTTTTTTATAATTTTTATGATCTTCAGTACAATACAATCTTTCCGCATGAACATATTTTAAATAATTATTATTTTAGAACCTTTTTTTTATTATGTTCCCGGGCTTACTTGTAATAACTTAATAATTATTAGGATAACTTCCAACTGGGAACGTACCACCGGATTACGGTTTGTACTGAAAGTGTATGAATCGCCTGAGCAGTGGCAGTTTTATTAGCTATTTTTTATTACTTTAAACACAGAAATCGATGAAAGTATTTTAACCCTTGTAATTACAGATTTCATTTTTTTTTTAAGTATAAATAATTTTTTCAAAAAAGTAATAGTCATTTTACTGTACGGTCAAACAAAATAAAAATTATTTCATATAACCTGCATTGAAACTGCGAGTTTTAATGCCTGTTGAGCCAACCAAAATTAGTCAATTTCAATAAAAGTTGCAGCTTTATTTTCAATTCTATCAGATTAATATACTATTTTTGTATTTATTAAATCTGATATTGATTTATTAAATATTAATAGATCTTTTTAAATACTAAGAAATATTTATTAAGGACTAAAAAGTCGTCTCTAATAAATGATTTATTAAATATTAACAAATATTTTTAACTATAAACAAATTCTTCTATCAGTGCAAAAAAAAAACTATTTAATTTACGAATAATATTTAATAAAAAATAAAGCACTTTTTTCTTGAATTGTAGTTTTTAATTTTCTTAATAAGTTTTATAGTATTTTCGCTATTTGTCGGAAGCTATCTAGTTCTGGTTGGCTCCAGACATTAAAACTAACATTTTAATGCAACATATGAAAAATATAATGTGTAACGCGGGATGAAACACGATTTCAGACCAAGTGATGCCAGCCTTCGCTTCGCTCGGGCGAAATCACTTCTATTCACTCTGGTATGAAATCGTTTTGTTTCATCCCTAGTCACACAATATACTATTGAACAGAAGTATATAGTTAATAGGATGGACCTGTAAAAATTGTTACTTTAAATAATAAATATTTAATTGGTAACTGTTGTTTAGTTTTATAATTATCATCTAGATAAGGTGGGATAATTATTAAATAAATAAGAGGTGAATTTTTTATGAGTTTGTTACACTGATGGAAAAATTATTTTGATTCAAGAGAAATAATCTTTAATCAAGAGAATTTAATTAGTAGGTTGCGTCAAAATTTAATCTTCGAGAGCAACCTTTTAAAATTGGAATTTTGAGTTTCGCTTTTAACACGAGCTGTATTTGGGCATTTCCTGATATATTTTGGTGTGTCACGATTTATTTGATATTCACAGAATTTTTTAACAGGAGTTTCGTTTGGCCAAATTTTTAAATTTTTAAAGTGCTTCAATAAAACTCCTGTTAAACAATTATGTGAGCATCAAATAAATCCTGACATAAAAAAATATCTCAGGAAATGCCCAAACCTAACTCCTGCTAAAAGCGGAACTCAAAATTCCAATTTTAAAAGGTTTTAAAGTAGAAAAGTTTTTTAATCAATAAATTCTTCTTTGTTTCAGTTAATTTTACTTGATTAAAAATTTTTTCTCCTTTATCCAAGAAAAATAAATTCTTAATGATTTTCTTGGTTAAAGATTTTTTTCTCTTGAACCAAATTAATTTTTTCATCATTGGAAAAATAGCAGCGGTAAAAGTATAAATTTATAATCAATTTAATTTAAAAATAAACAATAAAATAAATAACTACTAAAGTCTCGTAAACAATTTTTTTGTTTGTAGAAAGTTATACCTATCAAAATTCAATTTTTAATTTCTACCGCCACTATTAATAGGTAAATAATCATCCTCTCGAGACTCGCAGTACAGTACAAACATAAATTATAGAAATAATTTGCGCGATATAATAATAATATTTTAAACATATAGTATAAATAATCTTTAAAAATTGTCTTTTGGTATTCTCTCTCACATAAAATGTGATATCGATATCTATTGACGTCTACTTCCCTAGGTAGTAATTTTAATTACATCTATATAAAAAAAAAAAAAAAATAACAAAAGTGCCACCAATTTTACAGTCCTAGGGTGTATAATCTATCGTGATATTAATCATCATAATAGAATTTAGTAATAATAATAAATGTCTGGCATTTTGATTGAGATTCAGGTCGTTACACATTAATTATAAATCTCATTGTATAAATATTTCGATTGTTGAGTTTGTCCGAGATTCTTCGCCCCCTCTTTTGTTCATTATAAATATTAATCTCAGTCTCGATATATTTTTCACCTGTTAAAACTTTGGTTTCTTCGTAAATATATTAAATATCAGACAGTGTATAATAATAATAATAATAATAATAATAATTAATAATATTATTATTATTATACACCGTATTATGTCTTATTAATTAGGACCATTTTAAGTTGTATTATCTATTATCTCATAGATCTCTGTTGTCTCATGATATAAGATCTTATAACTCCGTAACAGCGTAAAGGTTGGGATCGCTACCTTGGACCTGGCTGAGAGTTGGAATAGCGGAGGCCTTTTCCTGGCGCGCTTGAGCGCGGTTGTAAGTTCCGTACATATTAGGAACGACGTTGTTGGGAGCTGCACCATTGAACTGCCCGCGAGAGAAGTTTCGGTCGAGAGTTCTTACTTGGTCCTGAACTTGGTCCTGAACTCTGATGTTCGGCGTCTTGTTCTTCATCAATGACCGGAACTGGTTCATGTTGGTCTGCGACCGCGATTCAAACTCCCAGGATGGCTGACTTGGGTTTGGAGGCAGTGGTCGATTCTGGTTCCAAGCTGGGGTCGGTCCTCGTTTTAGGTTTGCGAGATTCTTTGGGTCCAGCGTCTGGGTCTTGCGAGAGTCTTGAAAAGTCGCTAGGTGGGAAGGTCCGTGGGAGTTATGAGACATTGTACCGGTGAAGGACGCCACACTTGGAGTCCAAGGAGGTTCCCTCCCTGAAATTAACAAAAAGATTCATTATTTTATATTTTATTTTTCAGCATTTATGAATTATTAGGTTCTTAAGAATTTTTTTCAATGTTTATCATTTTTTATTTGCAAGGATAAATGCTGGAAATATTGTCTAAATGTCTTATAAGTTAATCTTTAAAAATAATAAAATTGATTTTTAGTTTTGTATAATTGTAATCAAAATTAGATTCAACGTAAAATGTATGAAATTAGTAAATCAACAATTGAATGACTACTTTTTATCGAATTAAATAAAGTTACTAAAGAAACGATTTTGTTAAAAATTTATCATTTTCTCAACTAACAACATATTGACAAAATATTATTGGTTACATTTCAGACAATTTGATATAATGTCTATTGGTCTAATATTTTTCTTCGTTATTAATGTTTAAAAAGTGGCTTTTTATTTATTAAAATAGATAATAAATTATTGAAGATAAATATTTAATTCTTACTAGTAACCTTGCAGTCACTATGTGACTGCCGTGACTAATGAACTATAAATAAATAAAATTTTACTTTATTGAGTAAGGATTTTTGTTAAATTGCACTGTACTTTTTCAACTATTGACATTTTTAAAGATATAAGCTCATCCTGATGTTACATTCATCAAGAGCTTTTATTTGAGTACCCACATGCATTTTTGATATATTTTTCATATATACATATATATAATATATATATAAATATATGAAAAATTGATGTGGGTATTCGAATGAAAGGTCTTGATGAGTGTAACATCGGGATGAGCTTATATCTTTAAAAATGTCAATAGTTCACAAGATACGAGGTCATTTCTTAATTATTGATATTTTTAAAAATGTAAGCTCATCCTGATGTTACACTTATCAAGAGCTTTCATTTGAGTACCCACATGCATTTTGATATATTTTTCATATATACATATATATATAATATAGATAAATATATGAAAAATTCATGTGGGTACTCAAATGAAAGGTCTCGATGAGTGTAATGTCGGGATGAGCTTATATCTTTAAAAATGTCAATATTTCACAAGATACAAGGTCATTTCTTAATTATTGATATTTCTAAAGATATAAGCTCATCCCGGTGTTACACTCATCAAGAGCTTTCATTTGAGTATCCCCATGCATTTTTGATATATTTTTCATATATAATATATATAAATATATGAAAAATTGATGTGGGTACTCAAATGAAAGGTCTCGATGAGTATAATGTCGGAGTGAGCTTATATCTTTTAAAATATCAATAGTTCAGAAGATACAAGGTCATTTCTTAATTATGTGTCTAGAGATAGAGCATTTTCGAATGCAGCCTAAATACTTATCATAATAAATTGACTATTGGTGAGAATGATATGAAACCTTGAAAAGGTACAAATTTAAGCCACGACCTTTGCAATGACACTAAATTTCACTAAAAAAAACCGATTTTATGATATGATTATCCTAGACACAAAATTTTTCTTATTCTCTTAATAATATAAATGACAGCCTATTCAAAAATTGAAATACTATTATAAAAACTTCTAAAAATGCTTATTAAGTTTTATTAAATTATTCGTTATTGTAATTTTATTTTACATTTAATAAAATTAGTAAAATATCATTGAATAAATAAATATTGATCAAAATTAATAAAGAAATTATTGAAATTTTATTTTAAATAAATACAAGTCGAAAAGAATAAATTTATAATTAAAACTTTTTTTAAAACTCAACAAAAAACAAAGTTAAAAATGAGCAATTTGTTGTTATAAAAAAGGATCATTTTGGTTTGAAATGTTATGTAAAAAAATTCAAAGCTTCAAGATTCTTTTTCAAGATGATTACAGTTATTTCAACGTCAAACTTCCTTCGATAAAGTTGCTGATAAAATGATAAAAAAGTAACGATAAATTCAACCCTCGTTTTTGGGGTATCGCTTTAAAAAACAAGCCAACTAGAATCTGTTAGTCACATCCGAAAGATAAAACTTTTTACAAGAAAACGGAACTAACACTCCTATTTATTTTTTACTAGTCACGATCAATTTCATTTTTTTTTTTTCAATAAATAAAAAAAGCCTGAGGTCATAACTCATAACTAAAAAAATAACCAGTCGCTATATTTAAATAAAATTAAAATAACTTCGCATTTATTTATGTTTATAAAATAAGCATCTCGTCACAGTTTTCATAACTCTCATCCGTAATAATCCGACACTTTAATAAAGTTAAGCTTTTATACTATAAACAGTTATTTAATTCTATTAAACTATTGTTAATTGAGAAAACAAGGAAAGTTTTTATGTTAACTAACTCAAGCGTATTATAAACAAAATAAAGTTTAAAGATGTTAATAACTATAATCATTTTAAAAGTTTCCTTTTAAAGTCTTTATAAAGTACTGAAACAAATATAACAATTGTCGTTAATTGTCGGGAACTTTTGCGTCATATTTAACGACTAAGTTCACATTTATGATACCGACGATTATTTAAATGTTATTAATATTTTCTTTCGACATTCAAAACTAAATTACTTAATACTGCATTTATAATTGAAATTTTAAAATTAAAAATAAGGTAATTATTTAAACAAGACTATAAAAATGAAAAAAAATGTTTGTTTGTCTTGCTTTTCTCGGACATTTTTCAAACATCAATTTTTTTCATTGAAAAACATGAAAGCTGGACAAATTATAAAAAATTTTGGTAATTATTTACAAGTGGGTCCAACCTATTTTTGGCCATATCTAGTTAAAAAATTTTAAAAATTTAAAAATTTTTTTTATTCTGCTTGTTTTTAAAAATCAAGTTTTCGAGTTTTTTTACCTTCAAAAGTTGGAAAAAATTTTGACTCTCGTGTTTTTGGATAAAATTTCTATTTTATCTTTTTTTGATATATTTTTTGTTGAAAAGTACATAAACAAACGAACAATTTGAAAAAAAAAAAAAAAAGCTAAATATCACAATTTTCAAAAAAATTTATAAATTTTTTTGAAAATTTGTTAAAATTGTGACAATCAACTTTATTTTTAAATTGTTCATTTTTTTATGTATTTTAGAAAAAAAAAATAGTATAATGTGATGTATATTCTTGTTTTAAATGAAATCGGTTTTATATATTTTATTTATACTCCAAAATTTATTGTACTTATTAAAACACTATCTATGTATATAAAATTTGCCATTCGGCTAAACACCGTGGCATGAAAACTAAATGAATAAATAAATAAAATGAAAATATATCAATAAAATCAAGCAGAAATTCCATTCAAAAAAATAAAAATTAAAATGGTTGACCCTACTTGTAAATATTTACCAAAATTTTTTGATTTAAAAATTTTTGAAAAATTTGACTTTCAATCAACAATTTGGACATGACGCAGTAACTTCAAAATTTTTTCAGATTTTGCAGAAAAAATAGAATGATAAAAAAAAAAAAAAATTCTTTTCATCCCATTTTTTTGAATTTGTACAATTTTGTTGAAATTAAATTCAATCGAGTAATTTTTCTCTATCTCAAAAATAATTTCAATTATTATTTATAATTAACAAAAAAAAAAAATCTCACCAGGTCCCGAGGGGGCGTGTCCTCAGTAGAAATCATTAGATTCAAGAGTTTTGCATTGTTTACTTAAAGTTGCGTACTGACCAGGTTGATCTCCGTGCCCAGAACGGTGCTCAGTTCGTCCACTTGCCGATTGCTGATTATGCTGAGACAGTTTGTGATCTCCGATCCCTCCACTCCCGTTAACACCCCCACCTCTGTAATCATTAAAACAAAATTAATTACACCAAACCCTTTTTTCTTCTCCTTCTTCTGTAAACTACTATACTTAATTAATCAATTAATTAAATAATCATTAAATCAATTTAATTAATAAATTAATAATATTAAATCCAAAACGTTAAACTTGAACTCTCTTTGTATGTATACGATTAAAAAAAATATATATAGTAATAAAATCTTATCCACTGATTAATAAAACGCACAACTAACATCTATTGGCGCAAGCAGCAGCTCTAACAAAATTTAACTTTTTTTTAGATCTATCATCTTGAAGAAAATAAATTATTTAAGCAGCAGAAAAAATCCAGACTGTGTATAATATAATATAATAATAATAATAGTAAGAAATTGTTCGATTATTTATCAATTGTAATTGCAAGATTATGATTTATGACAATTTAAGTAGCAATCATTACTATGATTAAGATCTATGATCGATTTTGCTACTTTAATTGTAAATGATGCTAAAATGAACAGACGTCTAACAAAATTTTTAAGTAAATATTTATAAGTGGGGTCAATTATTTTAATTTAAATTTTTTTATTGAAATTTTTATTTGATTTTATTGATATATTTTTTTCTTGAAAAATATGTAAAAAAATGAACAATTTAAAGAAAGAAATTGATTATCACAATTTTAACAAATTTTCAAAAAAATTTGTAAATCTTTTAGAAAATTGTGATATTGAACGGAACTTCATGACGGAACTTTTGAAAAATTTTGCTATACATATTTCGACTCAGCTCGTCAAGCGGATTCAAAAAATGCATATGGTTCAAAAGTTTATATATTTATGTATTTATACGATATAATCGGCCTTGTCTATTCTCTAACTCCCGCAATTCTGTACGGATCTCAATAAAACGTAACATACTCATTATTAAAACGATTTCTGAGATTAAGTTCTAAGATGAGCCAAATTTGTTGATTAGTTTAGAAATGAGAGCAATTCAAAAATTTTCAAAAATCGTAAAAATTTTTTTACCGTATTTTCATGCAATTATAATTAAATGTGACATCATATTAAATTTCTCTAAATTGCATCTGAAAGCTTATTTCATAAGCTTTAATTTCCATACTTATTTATTTTTCCAAATTAAATAGTTTAGGAATGAGAGCAATTCAAAAATTTTTGAAAATCGCAAAAATTTTCATTTTTATCGTATTTCCGTGCAATAACAATTGAATGCGATATCGTATCATATTTCTGTAAATTGCATCTGAAAGCTTATTAAATAAACTTCAATTTGCATATCTCACCATCAGTCTAGGCCAACAATTATCTACTTTCTCAGACAGATTTAATGAAATTTTACTTTTGCATTCGTTTTGTCGTTATTGTTTTATTGTAGCAGAAGTTATATATTATTATTAATATTATTTTATAAAAAATTTTTTTTTTAATCGAAAAATCTACTTCCATTTCGGCTGCCGAATGGTCTTTTTTTTTTTTAATTGTTTGTTTTTTTATGTATGTATTTAAAAAAAAAAATATATCAAAAAAAGATAAAATAGAAATTTTATCCAAAAACATGAAAGCAAAAATTTTTTCCAATTTTTGAAGACAAAAAAGCTATCGAAATTTTGTTTTTCTTTCACGACATTTTTTATCATAAATGCAGAATAAAAAAAAATTGAAAATGTTAATTTTTCATCTAATTATGCCCCAAAATTGGGGTTGACCCCACTTGTAAATAATTACCAATTTTTATTTGGTTTTTATACTTTAGACAGATTAAAAAACCAAACTATTAAATTATTGTCAGACACCTGGTACTTAGAGTATTATAATCATAAAACTGATAGACTGATTTCTAAACAATTAACATATGTATAAATTTAAAATTAAATAAAGAACAAAAACATGCACAAACTTTAACATGCTCTCGTGCAGCTGACGTGCTCGAGCTGTTGCGGTAGCGTAGGATGGCGGGGGCGGCGTTAGCAGAAGAGGCTGCTTAATTGTATTATTCGTGCCATGAGAATTTGGATTAAGAGAAGGGGCTGTAGGCGGGTACGACCCTTGGCCACGGAGAGTCCTGGCTGCGATCGCCTGCGACGCTGCTGACGGCGGCAAAAATGGATCCTGCTCGTCAACTTGAGAGTAATCCCTTCTGGAACAATTTTTATTATTTCAGTTTATCTGTTCTGTAGATTAATCGTTAGTAAGCAAACACTTTTAATCACAAGAATTAATCAGTGACTGATAATTTTCTCACTAGAAAGAAAATTACTATCTACATTTCGTGAAAAATTATTATCGTTATTGATAAGATTATTGATGAGTAATTCAAAAAATTTGTAATTAGGTCAAGGTCATTTAATTACTATTATTATTGTTATCCATGGTTTTATCTTCTTTTTATTTTTTATCGTAATTCAAAAGAAATTGATAAATCATCAGAATTTTTTTTTATATCTTATGCTTGAGGCATTTTGATAAGAATTATAAAAGTGTTTACGGAGAAAAAAAATTTTTATTTTTTTTAATTTATAACATAATTATTTTTTTTATTCTAACGTTATTTATTTCTATTAATTAATTTTTTTTTAATTATTTGAATCAAAGGGGATGGATAGCCACTGTGAAATTTCAAAAAAAAATTTTTTTTTTATTAAATCAAAGTTTATACATTCAAAAATATGTATCTAGAGTTTTATATGAGAGGTAGAGGAAATTTTTTTAGTGTTCCACAAAAATGCTTATAACTTTGTAACAACATTATATTTTTTAATCAAAATTTAGGAGAATGATCTTCAATGGACACTTTATAAAACAAAAAAACCCGATCCCCAAATTCCTTTATTATCCCAGTCAAAAAAATTCCCGAAAATCACCTATTTTTTTCGATCCTCACAGTGACTATCCCCTTTAAAAAAAATTAAATAGCAAAATTTTGATAAAGATAAATTTATTAAAAATCAATCATTTTAAGGAGATCATGCCAGTAAAATGATTACCGTTTTCTGATATAAATCCAGGTATGAGAATCGACCCAGACTAAAATTGTAAAAAACAGTCCAGCAGCAAGACTAGCCAGAAGCATGAAAGTCAGACCATAGAGTCCAAGATGACAAAGACCTTGGGCAGCTCGAATATATTCCTTGTGAAGAGGCTTGCAATCGAGAAGAGCCGTCAAGCGTGACATACTTCCGTTGATATCTATGACGGTGTCCTTGAGGCTTTGGAGCTTCGGTTGCAGGGTCGGTTTGTCGTAGAGTTCATATGCGATAGTTTCGACTGCATTCAAACTCGATAGCATGAACCCAGCAGCCATTTGTCCTTCTCGTAATCGTTGAGTAAACGGATGGTTCTGGGTGCTTTCACAGCGCATGTAATAATTAAGTACTTCGCTGACCATCACGGTGGGGCTGTTTTTCATTAAATAACTGTCAGGTGAGACGCAGAGGTCGCCCAGGGCTACTGACGTTGCCAGGTACAGTGAAGCCATTAACCATGATACTATGACGGCAAACAGGCCAAATACAGAAAACCTATACAGAAAAAAAATTTTTTTTTATTTAACGCTTAGTAAATAATCAAACGTCAGTATAAAGGGAGTTTGTCACTTTTCAGGAAGTACGTGTCTGAATATCGAACGACAATATGAAACTTTTTTATTATGCAACTAATCACTTAAGAAGTTTTCAACTTTGTGACAGACATAAATGTCACTAAGTTTCTTGACATTATAAATATTTTCTAGTAATTATTTTATTCCACAATCACCTGCACAGAAAGAAAAATTTCTTGACTAGAGACCAAAATTCTTGGCTTTAAAAAATTTTCGGGTGCCTGAAGGAAGACCGAAGTTGTGTTGGTCGAAGTAAAAATTTTTCTTTAAATTATATTCTTGGCGGAAGTCATTTTTTTTTTTTAATTCAAATTATCATAAATACTTGATACAATAAATTTTTATATTTGATCAAGATTTTTAGATACTTTAGGGAAGCAGCGCCAACCTACTTCAGCTGAGAAAAAAATTTTCTCACCTTGAGAAAATTTTTCTCTTAAATATTTGATACCCATTTTATATTATTTTAGCGTACAATTATACATATTGAATGAAATAAAATGATGAAATATTATTTGACATGTTAATCAATAAAAATATTAATGAAAATTTATTTCTATCTTTATATTTAATTTTTGGAGCAAGAGAAAAATTTTCTCAAGGCAAGAAAATTTACTTCTATCAAGAACTAAATTTTTTGGAGCAAGAGGCTGAATTTTCTCAAAACAACAAGATTTTCTTGACTTAAATAAATTTTCTTGGATCAAAATACGTATTTCTTAAAGCAAGAGAATTAATTTTGTTGAAATAAGTAAAATTTCTTGTGTCAAAAAAAAATTTTTTTTTACTTCAAAATGATACTCTTAGTTCAAGATCATTTTTTTTTAATCAAGTTAAATTTTATATCAGTTTTTATAAGTATCTATTAGAATTTTAAATGGATCACCGCAACCCTAAAACATTAATAATTAATAAATAAAATATAAAGTGATAAGATATTCAGACAGATACTGCTATCCTTAGTACTTACATAAGGTAATGATAACTAATGAAAATAAATTTATCGAGTGATAAAATACTCACGTAATGAGGGCACAGCGAGAATGTCGCGCGACTCCGACCAGCAGAACCACACACAGTACAAGCAGAGCGCTGAGTACAGCCATAGTCACCGGCCACCTGAAGAATTCAATTTTGTCAACAACGGCGATCGAAGATCCAATATTAATGCAGCACAAGTGTTTCTTGAGTTCCGCACCGCGTTCCACCGCGATTGAGGTGTTGTCCGTCACCTGTTTCCAAATCACCATCATATACTTGAAAGCAGTCCCATTGGCAACCGGAGTGTCCAAATAGTCGCCCAAGGAGGTCAATGAGGGTCTCAAATTTTTCCTAAGAACCGAATCTATCGTCTCGGTTTGGTTTTTCACAGACACTATACTCATATCAATCTTTTTGGCAGCGTCCAAAAACTGTACGAGCCCGTTGTGAACATCGTCGTTCCCGTAGAGTCCCACTGCGACTGCGCCGGAACAGAGAACCGCCAAAATGGCCAGCAAACACTTTAATAGCGTTATCGATCTTCTGGGCCGAGGTTTTCGATCGCAACATCTTGTTACGAGGTAAACTAACAATACTAGTAGCGTCAAGATCAACCAGGCAGCTGGAATGCTCCCCAGGATTCCCAGACTCTGAAAAATTCATTTTTAATATTCATTTAGTTATAATTTATCAGTGGATTCAAGTTAAGAGTTAGAGAATTAAAATTACAAATAAACCTTTAAATTTTTGTATTATTATTTTTTGATCACAATAAGTCGAAAAATTTACTTATTAAAATTTGTTGTCATTTTTTTTTTTTGAAGAGCATAAAAAATTGGACAAATTGAAAGAAAGGTTTCATGATATCTCGAAACAAGAGTCAAAATTTGAAGAGAATATTTTTCTCAAACCAAGTAATTTTTTCAGTACACGGAGAGAAATTTATAGGAATCTTTTCAACAATTATGGGAATGGATCCTATAATAAAATTATCATTATAGGCATTAATCCTATACTCATTATGGGAACCATACCCATAATTTATTGGAAACGATCCTATACCATAATGGAATAGCTTCAATATATTATGGGAATGGTTCCTATAATATTATAGGAATGGTTCCTATAATATTATAGGAATGGTTCCTATAATATTATAGGAATGGTTCCTATAATATTATAGGAATGGTTCCTATAATATTATGAGAATGACGCACATAATAATAGAAAAAAGTTTATTTTCTTAATAATGAAGCAATCACTTCAAAAATATAAAGTAATTTTTTTTTTTTTCTTAAATTGTTTAAAGTCGCATAAACTACTAAGGTCATGAGCGACTACGGTAGGGGGTAAACTTTTGAGATTAGAACTCGTTTCATTTCTTGGGCTGAGCTGTATAATACACTTAAATATTGAAAATATTAATAATGAAGCAATTACTTCAAAAATATAAAGTAATTATTATGTATTTTTTTGCTAATAAAATTTTTTTTTGTAAATAAAAATTGATCTTTCACTAGAGTAAAAAAATTTCTTTTTCATAATTTTTATTCACGTGTGTACTTAATCTTGAATTATTTATTCTAGCTCAGTTATTATTGTGTTCAATAATATTGAAAAATATTGTAGCAATTTCAAAGTTTCTCTAATAAAAAGGATATTTTCTCACTATACAATTGTAGGAGCAAAATAGATATGGAAATTCATTGTTTATTTTCACAATTTCATTTTATTTTTAAAGCAAATTATTTATTTACAATACATACGTTGAGCCGCGAAAACATTTGAAAATTTGGAATTTCAAAACAATTGGAAATTTTATTTTATTTAAGAAATTTTTTTTTCTAGTAGGAATTTTTTTTTAATAAAATTTTTTTTTTTAATGAATTTTATTTTAATTTACAAGCATGTATACCATTCAAGATTAAAAAAATATCAACTGCTGCAACTGATTAATTTCATAATGATAATAATAATAAATATTATTACTGATAACTTTTTTTATCAATTTATATATTATAAAAAAAGAATCACTTAATCAAAAAAAAATAAATCCAGTGAAAAGTAATTAATTAAATACTACAGTTGTGTGAAAAAAAATTACTCCAATATTATTGGCATCATTCCTATAATATTATGGAAACCATTCCTATATATTATGGGAATCATGCCGATATTACAGTTATAATTATAGGTATAGTTCCTATAATTATAGGAACCATTCCCATAATTATAGTAACGTTTCCCAAAAATTATGGGTATAATTCCCATAATTTAAGTAATCGCTCCTAAAATGGTATAGGAAAATATTTCATTAAAATTATAGGAATAATTTCCATATTTTTCTCTCCGTGTATAAAATTGATAAAATCGAACTCAATCGCACTTAAAATTATCAGAATTGAGCGGCTGCCCAATTTCAAAACACAGTAATTGACAATTTTAAGATTTTTAAAAATTTTTCTTATTAAAAAAAAGTTTGCGCGCCAAATTGATAAAAAATTTAATTTATGAATAGAAAATACTTGAATGTAAATATTTTTAAGAAAAAAATACTTGAAATTAAGGTCTAAATGTTATAAGAAATGCAGCAATTCTAAAAAAAAAATCAGGTATAAAAATTTTGCAGTTATTATGTTTTAAAATTGAACAGCCGTGAGATTTTAACGATTTCTTCTTTTTTAATCATTCTATTTTTTATGCTAAAATATAAAAAAAAATTTTTTTAAACACAGAAAAATTAATGCATCACCTCTAAATCATTGATCGAACGTCAAAATTTATAAATTTTTCGTAAATTCACAAAAAATACTTAAACCATCACATCATGATACTTTTTTTTTTATTTATTTTTTTTATCATGCTCTGTAAGGAAAAAAAAATGATATCTTTTATAAATTAATGTTTGAAAAATATTTATGAAAAACAAGACAAGTAAATACTCTTTTGATTTTTAAACTGCGAAAAAAAAAATAAATACAAAATTTTGTAAGCTTATAATTAATGATTCATAAGTCCGCTACGAAGAAGAAAAAAATGATTGAACCTTCAGAGTTGAAAGAGTTTAAGATCAAAAATAAAAGTTAAAATTTTTTTATTAGTATTTTTAATCATTAAAAGTCGAAAAATTTACTTATTAAAATTTGTTCTAATAAAATTGAACCCAATAGCACTTAAAATTGTCAGAATTGCAATGTCAACGATTTCTTCTTTTTTAATCAATCTATTTTTATTCAAAAATATAAAAAAAACAATTTTAAACACAGAAAAATTAGCGCATCACCTCTAAATCATTGATCGAACGTCAAAAAATTTAGGAATGTTTCATGAATTCACAAAAAATACTTAAATCATGACATCCGCACTTTTTCTTTTATTCATTTTCTTTATCATGCTTTTTAGGGGAAAAAAATGATATACTTTATAAATTAATATTCGAAAAATATTAATGGAAAGGCAAGTAGATACTTTTTTGATTTTCAAACTACAAAAAAAAATACAGAATTTTCTAAGCTTGTAATTAATGATTCATAAGTCCGCTATGAAGAAAAAAAATAATTGAGCATTTTAAACAATTAACAGATTAAATATTAACCCAATTAAAAAAATAAATCCAAAAGGTGAATATAAATTTATGAACCAACAAGCATTTAAAACAAAAGCTCCGCTTTATAACTTGTAGTGTCGTCTGGTACTTAACGATCGATTAATAAAAATATCAATCTTACGGTCCGGCGAGCTTTTCCACGGCAGGTGCGTCAGACGACCAATTAAAACCTTTTTTATTGGCCTAAGTGTATACGGAAAGACTCTTATCGCAGTCTCGTCTCTCGTCTCTTGTCTCTAGGGTTCTTTATATTCTCTCAGAGTCTCATCTCTCGTCCGTTAACCTCTTTTATCATCTTCCCGTTCTTAACTAATAACCTGACCTATAGGCAAGTTAGTTTTGTTTGTCTAGTTATTTAAATATCACCCTCAAACTATTTTTTAAAATTTAATTATTATTATAAAAATACTCAGAACAGTCAAGTAGAATTTATAAGTAAAAGTAAAAAACAGAAATGTGAAATAGAGGAAATATCACAGTAGAGCACAGAGGTGAGGTCGGAGGTTCTACTATTATACATATATATTATACGGGATACACATTATGTATATGCCAACGAGGTTCTCTTTGTTCATTGTTGAAACTCGCCTGTATTGTGCTTTCTCGTTTCGGTATGGCCTGAATTCATTCCTCTGTGCTTGAGGATTTTTAGTGCGCACTACTAAAAGAAAAAGATAGATATAGAAATGAAGATGAAGCAAATACTTTCTACATATCATCTTTTTGCTCTAATTCTAATTCATTTCAGCACAGCTTTTAAATATAATGTCTTAACTACTATACTATATATCTGCACTCACTCTCAAGATTGACTAATGACTCGGAAAAAATTAATGTGCTGGATTAAGTTGTGGCGAAATAAGGAATTACCAAGACAATATTAAGTGCTGCTCGTTAATCACTTTGAATTATCAACTCCAGTTAAGTTAATATAAATAATAAAATTCTAGGCGGCTTAAACCTTTCTTACATTCATCTACACTTCATCATTTGATCTTTTGTATACTTACTATATGTATACCGTTTAAATATTTTTTTTTCTGTACGTCAAATTCAAAGCAAAGGTCACGGATATGGATTTTAAAATTGAGAACATCAGAATGGAGAAAAGTCGGCTAGCAACGCTTTGAATATATTTCTTCAAAGGCAAAGGTATATCTTTTTTGTTATTGAGTATTGATATATCATATTCGTTGATATCATAAGTCACTTGATTCGAGAAAAAATATATTTAAACGAAAAAAAGAATTGTTTGGAAGAAATTTTTTGTATGGAAGCAAACAGATATTTTTTTTAACGAAAAAGTTTTTCTGATTTACTCTAATAATACCAATATGTTTCCTATTTCTCTATTTTTTATTCTATCAAAAATAAATTTCCAATACTTTTCGGAATGAAGTTAAGAAAAACAATTGTACTTAAATCGTAGCAATAACAAAACAATGTTTCTTGTATCTCTTATCTTATATCTTGGGCGTTCATAAAATTTGCGAAGGAGTAGTAATGATAAAAAGTCGGAAAAATAGGTTGTATAAGCATACATGAGCTGAGAGCTAGTAAAAGTAATAGTATAAGAACCTCGCCGGAGGTCTTTGGCACGCTCACAGTAAAAAATTCAATTATTAACCGTTTTCTGACGTTCCTTTAGCATATTTTAGGTTTGATTAACCTCACTGTCATGCTGCAGGTCATGTCATAACCTTTAAATGCTCCGTTTTACTCACAAAATAGATGTTTTTGGAAAATCTCTGTTTTTTATACATATTACTGCTGAATAATTATTGATTATTAAATATGTCTTCACGAAATCTATATTAATAAATGAAGAGAAGATTCTTAGACATGCCTAATCAAATGGACATTTAATTATTATCATAAAATGTATAGTTTCCCAGTTAATCTTTTAAATTGATAATATTATGTCGATATTTTGTTAGTTGAGAACTTAATAAGTTTTCATTATAATCTGTATCTTGATTTAGTTAAGCAAATAAAACATAATAATTAGATTATAGATTGACTAATTCGATATATTTCAAGTTGAATTCGATCTTGATTACGTCTACAGAGATGACAATGTACAGAACTTAAGATCTTTTTTATTTTTCAAGACCAACTTATAAAGAATTTCGATAATGTTGACACTAATTATCCGAGTTAATAAAAAATTATAAACGCTTATAAACGTCTTTAACTACAGAATTGCGGATAAAGGATGATAAAAAGTTGAAAAATTTTTTTACTTAAACACAAAAAAATTCAAACTCAAGTCCAGCGAAGCAAGCAATTGACAGCTAGCAAAAAATAATTAAATTACAAGTCACTTAAAGTTTTAAAAAGCTGTATTAAAAATCTGAAAAGTAAATATTTGTTTTAAAAAAATTGAATTTTGTTGGAAACCACTGACTAAATTTAAAATAAATATTTTGTTTGTAGACAAAAATAAATGCAAATATTGTGATGTTTATTTTTGATAAAGTGGTTCAATAACCACTTATTGATTTAGAGTATATTAACTTTCACGATGAATGACGGGTGAACAGCTTTTGACATAATTTTAGTCATAAACCGTCGATAAATTAATCCTTTGAGAAATAAAAAACAATTTCCAGCTTTTTTTGCTTCGATAATTAATGACTTTCGTATCACTATTATACGTATTAAAAATTGCATACTTGACAAGGATAATAAATTTAATTTATTGACAAAAAATAATAAACAGTGCTTTGTAATAAAACACAAAGACAATATTAAAGAAAAAAGTTTTGCATATTTAATATCTAAAGTTTATATTGAATTTTAAAATCAATGAGTCATGGGATTATAAGTATTTAAATTATTAAACACTTGTTCAAATTGTTTAATCGCTCTATTTAATTGCACGAACACAATGCCTATTAATTAATTATTTAATTAATTACAGTGCAAAACAATGAATATACAATGCAACAATGTATCATTTTGTCTTGCATGGAAAATAGAATTGAATTTATAAAATTATTTTTAATATAAACACGTCGGATTTGTGTTATATTTGCCGCGGATAAAATATGTATGTATATATATATATATATATATATATATATATATATA